GTTAGTGGGGTGACAGGTCAACAAACATGTCTTTTTTTTTTTTTAAATAGAAGTAAATATTTGTTATATTCTTAAAATTTTTATTGTTTTGATACAGGGTCTCACTATGGGGTTCAGACTCACTATAGTGATCCTCCTGTCTCAGTCTCCCCAGCACTAAGGATTACAGATGTGTGCCACTAGGCCCAGTTTCAGGCTGGCATGGTGCACTTGGGTATGGGAGCCCACAGTGCATGTGGTACCAGGGATCAAACTCGGAACCTTGCGCTTGTCAGGAAGGTGCTTAGACCACCGAGCTATCTTCCCAACTCAATAAATATGTCATTTTGATGACTATATTTTAAGGCCATGTTTGAGATAGGTGCAGTGGCCATTAGGAGTGGAGAGAAAGGGTCCAATCTAGGGGTTTAGAGAAGGATTTCTGCAAAGCATGGCATCTGAGCAAAGTCTCAGGAAGACTTGCGGGAGAGACACACAAGCAGTAGAGCTGGGAGGGGGTGCCCAGGAGTAGGAAGCCCCAGAAGCAAGTCAAATGCAGGTAATGAATGCTTGGAGGTAGAGGGAGACGGGAGATGCTGATAAAGGCCTTGCAGAGGAGTCAAATAAGAAGGCTTTGAAGGCTTTTAAGCAGAAAAATGAGATAATCAGATTTAAACCTTAGAAAGAGCCCTCTTGACTGCTCTGCAGAAAAAGCCTTGCCCTCTGAAGAGGGAACATCGGTGGGTGGAAGGGCTGTGGAAAGGCTATTGTCCTGGTCCAAATGGGAGGAGACAGGGACTTGAATTAGGACAGCAGTAGTTAGGATAAAGGGCTTGGGCCAGGGAGATAGTTCAATAGGACAGTGCCTGCCTGGCAAGTGGAAGATCCTGAGTTCAATTCCTAGTGCAAAAAAAAAAAAAAAAAAAAAAAAAAAAAAAAGCTGGTAGGGTGACTTGGGCCAGGAGGGAGGAAAGTGGGTGATGGCTGTTTGTCCATGTGGACTGTGAAACATGACAGTCCTGTGAATTTGAAGGAGTGATGCACATCTGGAGTCATCCTGTGACATCTGGAGTGATCATGTGAGTGGTACAGAGAGGAGACAAGACTAGAGATGGTCAGGCATGGGGTAGAGAGCAAACAGAGGGCTGAGGATGGATGCCTGAGCCAACACCAGCATTTCAGGGTGAGTAAAGGAGGACACAGGTGGGGGTGGAGAACAGGAAAGAAAATAATATTGTGAAACCAAGAGGCAGAAGGTGGAGGCCGACACAGTAGTGACTTCTGGCCAGGGGAATTGCCTCCTGAGTTGGGCAGCTGGGGCATTGTTGCTGAGCAGGTAATAGTGGGATGTTGGTGCAGATGCTGGATTCTAGTGAGTTAAAGGAATAGGGGAGAGTTTGGGAACAAGGGTGTCGTCTACTCTCTCATAAAACTGCGCGGGTCTCAGAAGGCAGAGAAAGTGGAGAGGACAAAAAGTCAAGGGAAGAGGTTGAGGATGTGGGTTTTATTTTGTTGTTAAGGCTGAAAGAGGTGTATTTGTGTGCTGGAATGTGAAACCGTTAAGAAGAGGTTGAAAATATGGAGAAGGGGAATCGACAGGACATTATTCCAGAGGAAATGAGTGGATGAGGCATGGGCACAAGAGAGCTGTGCCGCCACAGGAGATGGGCGTTTGCTCTCCCCTGAGACTAGAGTAGTATAGACAAGTTGGTGCTGAAAGAATGCGCAAGATCTTGAAAGATTGTTTCTGATTGCCTCAGTTCTTCTCTTCACAGTGATGCCCAACTAAGGCACATCTTAAAGTTCTTCTTATCCCAGCTCAGGCTGAAAATTCTCTGGATTAAAAGATTTAAACCCAGAGCTGGGCAGGCTGGCGCATGCCTGTCATCCTGGCACTGGGAGGCTGAGGCAGGAAGATGGAAAGTTTGAGTTCAGTATGGGCTACATAGTGAGACTTTGTCTCAACAGGTCCCAAGCTAGCAAAATGACTTAAGCTCGGTCTTGCTTTGAGGATATTTTTGTAGTCTCCTATCTGTAAAGTACTAGGCAAGAGGACTTTCATCTGAGCTATGCACATGCATTGAGCTCCTTTGCAGTTCATTCCTATGCACATGCAAAGAGCCAAGAGGCTAGGCTCTGGCTGGTGCGTCTTTGAGGACCTGCGTGCTACGTGCAGTTGTTGTCAGGGACCTGGGCCTGTGCCTGGCAGATACGCATGTGTCCTGCAAGGGGCGCTCAGGGGAAGGGAGATGCTGTCCTTATTTATTTTGAGTCTAGTGGAACTTGCCACTTAAGCATCTATCTGGAGCTGAGGGTAGAGGGAAACACCTGTAATCACAGAACTCTGGGAAGCTGAGGCAGGAGGATACCAAGTTCAAGTCCAGCTAGGACAATTTATCAACCCTGTCTCAAAATAAAAATTAAAAGAAGGGCTAGTGGCAAGATTCTGCGTTTAGGGCCAGCCAGATAGCTCAGCAGACTAAAGCACCTGCTTAGGCAGAGCACAGTGGCCAGGGCTTGATCCCTGCCATGGTGTGGTGTGGCGCCCCTGCCCCCACCCCCACCCCTGGGGCATGCTGAGACAGCAATTGAGACTGGGTGTGGTAGTGCATGCCTGTAATCCCAGCGCTTGGGAGGCTGAAAACAGGAGAATCACTATGAGTCAGATCTATGTAGTTAGACCCTGTAGACTTTGTAGTAAATACAAACAAACAAACAAAAAGATTCTGGGCTTAAAACACCAGTAACAACACACACAAGCTATCTGAACACACACAATCTTCCTGTTGGTGTTTTCAGTTTTGTAATTGTGAGGAATATCATATTAGGTATGTTTGTTACCTCTCGAGTGAAGCGGTACAACAGAAGGAGCCGCGTCTGATCGCCGTGTGCAGTTGTGTCCCCTCTGCTGCCAAGCTCAGGTTGGAAGTGACTCCTGCACACACAGCCTGCCCCACTCTAATCCCCACCCCCATACACACAGGCCCATGGTCCTTAGCTCTGCTGCAAACTAGAATTTTCTGGGGAGCTTTTGAAAATACCTTTGGCCTACTGTGGACCAATGAAATCAGAATGTCTTGGGGGTCTACAGGAATGAGTCCTTTTGAAAAGTTCTGTATTTGTAGTACACAGATAGGAGGAGAGGCCTAGTCCCCCTGACCTGGTTGTTACCTCTGGTTTGCATGCTGTAGCTTGAGAAGCAGAAGACACCAATGTTGGCACCCATGGAGAGGGCTGTGCCTCTGAGGTGGCTGGCCTGGCCTGGGCCCCTGGCTGGCTTCCTAGGGGCTGGTGTGTTGGTACCTGTGGCCTTTCAGGCACTCTTGTCTCAGCTGGTGGTGAACTTCGTTTTATTAAACTTATAGGTGTATTGGGGGAGGATCCTAGCGCAGTTTGAGTAATCCAAAAGGTCTTAACAGGGCCCCACGGTACTTTTCATTTACAGCTTTATTAGTGTAACTGACATATAGATTCACATTTTTTTTTTTTGGCAGAACAGGGGATTGAACTCAGGCCCTTGCACTTGCCAGAGAAGCACTTATTCCACTGAGCCATCTCCCTGTCCCTAATTGACATACAATAAACTGTACATATTTAAAATGTACAATTTGATAAGTTTTGACAGATGAGATGGATGAGACAATCAACGCAAGCAGGATAACAAGCGTATTTGCTCCTCACCCCTTAAAAATTCCCTTGTGCACCTTTTTTAATCTTTCCCTCTTCCCACTCTTTCCCCAGATAGCCACAAACACTGATCTGCTTTTGTCACTGTAGACCAATTTGCATTTTCTAGAATTTTGTGTAAGTGGAATTGTAGGTAGTTATACTCTTTTGTATGGATTGTTTTAATTAGAGAATCACCCTTTTTTGGACAGAGTCTTTTTGAGACAGAGTTTCACTATGCAGTACAGGCTGAACTTGAATTTACTTTCCAACCCAGGCTAGCCTTGAACTCACAGCCATCCTCCTGGCTCAGCCTCCTGAGTGCTGGGATTATCATCTGTGTTTCTGCATTTGTCAATCATTTATTCCTTTCATTGCTGAGTAGTATTCAATTGTAGATCTGTAGACATATCATATTTTAAAGATCCATTTGCCTGCCAATGGACCTTTGGGTTACTTCCAGATTGGGTTGTTACAAATAAAGCTTCTGGGAATATTTGTGTACAAGTTTATATGGACTAATGCTTTCATTATTCTTGCATAAGTAGATAACAAAGCCTTTGCACTGAGTTACATCCTCAGCCCTTTTTAAGGTTTTAATTTTGAGACAGAATTTCACTTTGGAGGACTTAAACCCAGAGGGGCAGAGCTGAAGTCTTCTTTGAGGACAGCCAGGGGGGTTGAGTCTCTGTTTTGATACCTAATAGCACTAAGTTGCCTAAACTAGGCTGGAACTTGCTGTCCTCCTGCTCCAGCTTCCCAGAGTGCACCACCATCGTGATGCCAGGATGAGCCCAGGGCTTCACACATATTAAGGGCCCCACCATTGTCAGCTCTCAAGTGCTGTGCTCTTTAAACTGAATGAAGACACCTTACTTCCAGCTTTTCATCCTCTCTCTCCTTGGGGAAGGTTCGCAGCACTGGTCATCCAGGTTCCGTGTATTTCTATATGCTCACTGGACTTCTTTAAATTTCAGGTCGCAAGACTCTCTCAGGCCTCCTGGAGATAAAATATGTTCTCGAAGGAGGTGTGGAGGGTAGAGAAACAGTGGGCAGAGCAGGGGCCAGGAATGCTTTCAGCTGCCCTGCACTGGGCTTGGGCTGGTGCATCCCTGAGGACCTGTGTGCTGAGTAGTACAGGATGAGAGTTAGGGCCAGGTCTGGGGACGTGGTCAAGTGCACAGCGGGTGGACAGATGGAATAAGGAACAGTCTGGCATCACCTTCTTCTACTGTCTTTCTCTTTCTTTCCTTTTGTTACTAGCACTGAAGAAATAGGCAGCAGCTCAGATTCTGTCCATGACATCTAGCGATGGATATTCTGTCCTGTGACTGACTGGCTTCTCTTGCTTGCAGGTGCCCAGACATCATGCCCCAGCCTTCCAGGCCTGACGCTGGCAGGAAGTAGAAAGCTTCTTTGTCTCTCGTGCCCCTGTCCTCACCATGTCTTCAACTCAAGGCAGTGGGGAGCACTGGAAGTCCCTCGAGTCAGTGGGCATCAGCCGCAAAGAGCTGGCCATGGCTGAGGCCCTGCAAATGGAGTGCGATGCTCTGTCCCGACTCCGGCATGACAAGGAGGAGAGCAGGGCCAAGCAAAACACGGAACACTCTCTCATCAACTGGGACGAGCCCGTCTTAGACTTCTTCAGCAAGCCAGCGGGGAGACGGAATGACCTCAAGCTCTTGCGCGGTCTCTCTGGCTCTGATCCTACCCTCAATTACAACTCCATCTCCCCACAAGAAGAACCACCCAACCACTCTACTCCCCAGGGCCCTCAGCCTGGCCCGGATCCCTGGCCCAAAGGCTCTCTGTCTGGAGACTATCTCTACATTTTTGATGGTTCAGATGAGAGGCCCTCTTTATCCCCAGGACCAGCAGACCCAGATGGCTCTTGCAAAAAATTGTCCCCACCCCCTCTGCCTCCTCGAGTCTCTATCTGGGACACACCTCCCCTGCCTCCCAGAAAAGGGTCTCCCTCATGCTCCAAGATCTCTCAGCCCAATGACATCAACACTTTTTCTTTGGTGGAACAACCACCAGGTAAACTACTGGGCCATCAAATCCTAGAAGAGGAAGAGCTGCCAGGAGGTGGAGGGCGGGGGTACCTGCTGGGATCTGTAGACTACGACGGAATCAATGACACAATCACAAGGCTCAACCTGAAGTCAACCTATGATGCGGAGATGTTGCGGGATGCCAGCAGAGGCTGGAAAGAAGGCCGAGGGCTGCTGGACTTCAGCAAGGACACCCCTGGAAAACCCGTGTCCCGGAGCAAGACCATGCCCCCTCAGGTGCCACCCCGAAGTTATGCTGCTCGCTACAGCAATCGGAAGACTACAACTCCTAGCAAGAACCGCCGGATTTCTGCTGCTCCGGTGAGGCTCTTATTATGTTTCTTCTGTGCCTTTTCCTCCTGAATCACTCAAAAATGAGGACCAGTCCCTCTTTCTTGCTGTTGCAAATTTGACTCTTCCAGGTGCTCACCCCCTAGCATCCTCTTCTCCCCTCATTTCTGCCATCAGGACCCTGGGCCTGGGTAGAGAGAAGTACTAGGTAGGCTGGACCTGGGAGCTGGGACGACAAACACCAGTAAAGGTTCAGCTCTTACTCGGAGCCCTCCTAGGCAGGAGCTGTTTTGGTTGCTAGCTGCCTCTTCCTGGTATAAGGACTGAATTGGGGGTCAGAGGAGTCCTTGTTGACTGTGGCCCTATAGACTCGAGGAAGTTGCTTCCAGTTGCTGAGGCCCTGCTGTGCCAAAGTAGAAGGCATCACAGAGGGAAAAAAATTCATTGCCTGCAGAAGACAGCAAAAGTAAGCAAGGACCCTTAACAGCTCCTTTCTGCCCCTTTTATACTCTATCTAGGCCACTGGGATTAGGGCTGTTCACACCTATTAGTAGAGTGATCAGTAATCACACACCCTTAATCCCAGCAGCATACATTCCAGATTCAGCCACCTCTGAAAAGCCCCACCTATGAGTGCCGGAGGCTTTTGGGGGCCCTCTAGACATGAGCCATAACAATGCCTTACCACACTAAACCTGGCTAGAACTAGGCATTGAACCCAAGGCCTCACACATGCTAGGCATGTTCTCTGCCACTGAGCTACATCCCCAGACCTTTTCTTAATTTTGCTAGATAGGGTCTTGCTAGGTTGCCCAGGCTGGCTTCAAACTTATGATGTTCTTGCCTCAGCCTCCTGAGTAGCTGAGATTGTAATCACGTGTTACCATGCCTGCTTAACCTCACTTAACTATGTTTTTGTTTTTTGTGCTATTGAAGATTGAACACGTAGCCTTCACACTGGGGCTACATCTTCAACTCTTTTAAAATTTATTTATTTATTTATTTTTTTGCGGAACCGGGGATTGAACTCAGGCCATTGTGCTTGCCAGGGAAGTGCTTATTCCACTGAGCCACCTCCCGGGCCCCTCTTTTTTAATTTTTTAATTATTATTATTATTGTTTTTTCTGAGACAGGGCCTTTCTATGTATTCAGGCTTGAACTCACTAGGGCAGGCTGGTCTTGAACTCATAGTGACCTTCCTACCACAGCTTTCTGAGTGCTGGGATTACAGGTAGGTGACACCGTGTCTGTTTTTTGTTTTTCTGGTCTGAGACAGTATCTCACTAATTTTCTGTGTTGCTCAGGTTGAGCTCCAACTTGGGCACTTCTGCCTCAGCCTCCCAGAGCACTGGAATTATAGGTGTGTGCCTCTGTGTTTGGCTTATCTGAGCCACTAGTAAGCACACAGTTTAGTGGAATTCAGTACAGTCAAATTGTTGTCAATCTTTACTGTTATCCATCTCTACTATTCCCAGTGGAATTATTTGGAAGTTTTTCAGTAGCATAGTGATAATTTGGCTTGGATCCACATGGAGTGGAAAGTAGCCCTGCCAAGTACACAGACTCTGTGTTGTACCACAGGTGGTTCCTGCTTCAGTGTGTTTCTGGCTCAGGCAGCATTGCAGATCGCCATGGAGAGGACCTGAAGGCTGTTCTGTGTTTCACTCTGGACCTCCAGAAACTGAGTGCAAGGAGTCAGGAGGCTTCCCACCTGGGCCTGATGGGTCACGCGTGTAATCCCAGCACTCTGGGAGGCTGAGGCAGGAGGATGGGAAGTTCAAATCTAGCCTGGGTGATTTAGCAATTTCATGAAACCCTATCTCAAAATTTTAAAGGGGTTTGGGGGGCCCAGGGAATATAGCTCAGTGGAAAGGCCTAGGGTCCAATCCCTAGCACAGAAAAAGAAAAGAGGAAAAAAGGACCCTCATGGCTGAGGACTTTGTTAGCAGCTTATCAAACCATCTCACTCCATCCCTGTCTCCTCCTTGACCATTGTCTGAAGAATCTGGGACTTTCCCACCTATCCTCCAACCTTCGGGATCTGTCCCAACTCCAAAAACTCCACAGTTCTCCTTCCCCTGATTCTACCAAGAACCAGCTGCAGCTCCAGAGCTCAGGCTTTTTAAAGGCTCTGCTGTGAGAGGTGGGGCTGCTCCCACTATTTATAGGGCTAAGAGAGTCCTGCTGGCACAGAGCGGGGACTGCTCACCAAAGCAAGCCACCCTGGTCGGTGATCACCTCCGTCCTCGCTGGCTCTCCTGTTCCCCACCCCTGCGCAAGTATCATCAGAGTTCTGAGAGGGAGTTTGATCTGGATCTCCTTGAAGAAGTGAGGGCAAAACCAAAAGCTCTTGCCAGTTCCAAGGGGAGAAATGCGGCCTTGGTCCTCCCCACCTCAGCTCAGTGCAGGGACTCAGCCCGCCAGGATTGGGGACCCTTTGAGCCTTCGGCCTATACCCCCACCCCGCCTTCGCCAGGCCTCCAGCCGGAGTGACCCTCCTTGTCCCAGGCCTCCTGAGCCATCTCTGGAAATGGCTGGCTCCAAATGCCAGCCTGGTACGCACACTGCCAGGCTCTGCCTGGCAGACTCCCGCAGCCAGCATCGGGTGCTGCCACCAGGGCCTGCCAGCCGGGGAAACGTAAGTGCCTTTTGTTTTCTTCCGGTGCTAGTGAGTGGTACAGAAAGGGCATGAAAATGGCCTTCAGTAGCCATTCTGTTCTCTCCCTCTCCTGCTTTCTCCTCCCTCCCATCTCTTTTTGTCTCTCGGTTTCTTTTGAAGGTTAATTGCTGACAGTGGTGCTATTGTTTTGACTGGGACATGGGCACTGTTGGCAGAGCCAGGGCCTCACGTGCCAACTGTCCCCACTGCTGTGCTTGCCTCTGTGTGGCCCTTCCTCTACCCACACACCCGGAACGAGGCATAGGTGCCCAGAGGAAGCCCTGGGGACAGTCACAGGAGGAGCTCAGTTGTGTCCTCTGTCCTGAGGCCAGGATGAATAACAGCAGCCAGTGAAGAAGATGGGAGGTGCCTGGAGGTGGTCGCACTGTGTGTATGCTCAGACCAGAGTGTGCACGCAGGCACACACACACATGCGTGCACATGGGCGCACACATACACCCCCCACCCCTCCCCTGCAGCTGCCTGGTCCTGTTGCTTTCACTGGATACAGGCTTGGACTTCATATTCAGGGAAGCCTCATTCCCTGTGTGGCAGCCCTGGCAGGCCTGTCACTTGCGCCCCCATTTAGGACCCCTTCTGGGGTGGGGGTATAGCAGATGAGAGCCTTGTCTCAGTGTCCTGGTTATACACACATTCTCTAGGAGAGGAAGTGAGGCCAACCAGGGCAGGCTCCCTGATATTCCAGCCATTCAGAACCAGTAAGTTCTGGAGCTGACAGGAAGGAGCCCAGCCTTCCACCAGGTTCTGTCCTGCCCAGACTGCTGTTTTAATACTCTTCCTCAAATAGTGCCTACCAAGAAGGCATGTGTGTCTGAGTCATCCTCTGTGGAAGGGTTCTCAGTCTCTCTCTACATCAGGTCCCTGGGGTTTCCTGTGGATATTGAGGCTTTTGCCTAGGGTCAAGCCTCCCCAGGGGCCCTTTCAGCCACCAGCCTTTGGGAGCCAGCCTGAAAGCCCTTACCCTATAGTGGCCCTACACTGCCTGACTGCACTGGGCTGGTCGGATGCATCTCCTTATGGAGAAGGTATGACCTCTCCTGTCCATGGTACCCAGCCTCCATTCTTAGCCCAAGCTTTGCCTCCTCTTTTTCAGCTTGTCTTTTTATCTGCTAGAATGGCAGATAAATGTATGTGTGGATTCTCCCAATTTCTTGTGCTGTGTTCATTTTGTTGAGTAGCTAACACATCTTTGCCCCTGGAGTCTGTCAGAGCTGGGAGTCTCTTCAGGGGTGGGATGATGCCATGAGGGAAAAGGCACTGAGTCAGCTGCTCTTTCCTTCAAGGCGGGCTCCCGTCCCCACACCGTCACCAATGGCCACGAGCTGTTTGAGGTGTCAGAGGAGAGAGATGAGGAAGTTGCTGCATTCTGCCACATGCTGGATGTGTAAGAATTAATGGGACAGAGGGCTTGGAGGGTGTGGGGGCTGGGGAGAAGGGTCACCCATTTCTGAGCTTTCTTTCTTAATATGGAAGAACCATATTAAATGACATAGCTATGAGAGGCTTCCTATTTCAGGTGTCTGCAGCTGTTTTACCATTTTAGGACTTTCTCATTTTTTAATAAAATTCTTGAAACCTCATCTTGCAGTTCATTTACCCACTAGGAGGATGTAGCTCAGTGGCACAGTGCCTGCCTGGCAAATGCAAGGTCCTGAGTTTGATTCCTGGTACCAAAACCAATCCAGTTACCCACCTCACTTTTGACTCAGGCCCTCAGTTTCCCTTAGAAGCAAATGCACTCCAGGTGGCGATAAGAATTTCTCTTGAACCAAAAGAAAATGGAAATGGAGGGCCAGAGGGATAGCTCAGCAGATTAAGTGCCTGCTTAGGCAAGTGCAGGGACCAGGGTTCAATACCCAGGACCACATGCCCTGCTGGCCCCGCTCCTGGGCGTGCTGAGCTGACTACTGAGTGCAGACATGGTGGCATGCATCTGTAATCCTAGCACTGGGGAGACTGAAAACAGGAAGATCACTACGAGTCTGGGCTGTCAGTGAGATCCTGTAAAAATATACATTAAAAAGAAAAGAAAAGAAAGAGGAAAATGGATTCGTAAAAATCTATAACTTCCTTTGAGAAGTTTGGTTTTCCAAATTGTCTTGTGCTCCACTGAAGTATTGTACAGTTTGAACAGAAATGGCAAGAACAGTTTCCTAGAGCCGCCTCCCCACTGCCCTGACCTGGCCTGCAGCACCAGAGGGCCTGGCTGACTGGGGACAGTAGGGACCCTGGGCCTCAAGGTGGGAGGGTCCCTGGAGGCCTATTGTCACCTGCTCTCTGAAGGCGCAGTGAAGGTCCTTCTTCCTCTCCTGCTCTACAGCCTCCGATCAGGCTGTGACATCCAAGATTACTCCCTCACCGGATATGTCTGGAGTGCTGTCACTCCGAGCCCCGAGCACCTTGGGGATGAAGTCAACTTGAAGGTGACTGTGTTGTGTAGCAACCTTCGGGAGCCACTCACTTTCACCTGTAACTGTAAGTTAGCTGGGGAAGGTTCGGGACATGCCTTGAGGTGGCACGTGGTGATTAGTCTGTGGGATCCTTTGGTCTCCATTCCCATCAGTCCTTGTGCCTGGATAAAGGGTATTAGGGAAGGTCCTTGGGGGATGGGGTCCAGGGCCACAGGCCCTCTCCCTACCCCTAAATGTTTTGCTTTGTTGGTGATGATGCTGGTGAGGCTTAGCTGGGGGTGGAGAATCAAGGTGGGGAGGTTGAGCCTTGCCTGCCCCATGAGCAAAGATGTTACTCCCTGTGCCCTCCCAGGTTCCTCCACTGTAGACTTGCTCATCTATCAGACTCTGTGCTACACTCATGATGAACTGAGGGAGGTGGACGTGGCGGACTTTGTACTAAAGCCCTGTGGGCTGGAGGAGTTCCTGCAGAAGTGAGTGAGCTGGCTGAGGCTGGGGAAATTCCGGGTGGAGGCAGCAAGTGCTGGGTGGGGAGGAGGGTGCCGGGGACGGCAGGGTGGCGTGAGGCTTGGGGCTGACAGCTCTGCAGTCAGGACGCCTGCTTTCTCTGCACTCTGCTGGCTGGCTATGTTGTACTTTCCTCAGGAGTTCCATCTTCCAGCAGGGTTGGCTGGATTTTGAGCCAAATCTGCTGTGGAAAGAACTTAGAACTGGGGTTAGGCAAAGGCAGATCCGATCTGCAGGCAGACTTCTGCTTGCAGAGAGATGAGTATACTTGGGGTCAAGGTGGGGGGCTGAGGGGGGTTGCTTCTGCTCTCGAGGATGTGTGTGGTGTCTTTCAGGGCCAGGGGAACAGCAAGTCTGGGCAAAAATGCCCTGTGGAATCTGGAGAAGTTACAATTGCTCGCTCCCCTTCCCCTGCCAGCAGCCATCCCCTGCTGGCCTATGCAGCTAGCTACCTCCTCCCCAGACTGCCTTCCAGCTCTTCCGCAGCCAGGACCCTCTGCAGAAGGCAGTCTCCCTGGAAAGTGTGATGGGGACCAGCTGAGGCAACCCCCTTTCCACTGCCCTGGTGAAACTTCACCCCTCAGTTGGTATTGCTATGTGACAGTAGACTGATAAGGCTGGCTACTGCCTACTCAGTCCTGCCAATTGGAGGAAGTCCCAATGTGTCCCCTCATGCCTTTCCTCTCTTGTATGCTTGTCCAGATGCACCAAGGGTCATCTAAGACCTGAGCATGAGAATCTGGCTGCAGACTGAGTTCTTGGTTGATTTCTTCAACTTTAGGGGAGTTGTAGGGCTCTCTGTTGCCTCCATATCATCATCTGGAGGTGGGGGGGGGGGAAGAAAAAGGGCAGACCTTGTGTAACTCGTACCTTCCAGTAGAACCCTTGTGGTAGTTGTATCCCTGCTTCTCATAGGGGAACAAGGAAGATCCCTGAATGCAGGGTCACCCAGCACTGTTAGGGTGCAGTGAGGGGTAAATTGGACTTTTTTTTTTTTTTTTTTTTTGGAACCAGGGATTGAACTCAGGTCCTTGCGCTTGCCAGGCAAGTGCTTATTCCACTGAGCTATCTCCCTGGCCCTTGGACTCTTGATAATGCCATTACCCTGGTTTGAATTTCAGCTTTCAACTTACTTGTTGTGAAGCTTGACCCTCTGGTTCTCCTGTAAGGAATGGCAAGGGCTTGGGTTGGAGGAGTAGCTTAGTGGTAGGGCACTTGCCTAGCATGTGTAAGGCCCTGGATTTCATCCCCAGCACCTTAAAAGAAAAAAATGGTGTAGGTTCAATGTGGAAAGGACCTCAAGAGCAGTCACTAAGTACTAGCAGGAAAGAATCAGCCTACAGAGAAGACTTGTTGGGACTGTGGATTAGGCAGCGCCATCAGGAAGCTGTTGGGTTCCACCTTTCTGTTGAGACCTGGGTGGAATGCCTTAGGGTGGGACAGGGACAGTGATGCTGGATCGTGCCCTCTGCTCTGTCGTGTCTGCACACAGAGAGGAAGGCCTATCCACAGGGAAGGTCAAGCAAGCCCCAGGGACCTGTGGTCATGGCTTCTGCTCCAAGATAACCCTCCCCCGGAACACACATGTGAAAGCACAGTTCTGTATACTGGTCTACCTCCCAAGCTCCTGACGTGTGACAGCTGCCCTGAGGGGGTATGAAGGACCCTCTGTGGGTTCTAGAAGCTGCAAGTTCCCCAGAAAATCCTCTGGGTTTCTATCCCTGCATGGCTGGAGGAGCTGAGGCTGAAGGGGAATGTTGTACTTCTGGGCCAGGATGCAGGCTGATTTCAGATAAGAACCTTGAGACAGCCCTAGGGGAGGGTTGGGTTTCCTGCCCTCTCCTTCACCCCCACCACACTCTTCCTTCCTTCCAGACCCTCCCGCCAGGCCCTGCTCACCACCCAACCTCTCCATCCCCAGGTTTTGGCTGCACTTCAGGCTGAGCAGTTTGGGGCCCAGATTGGAGGCCTGGCTCTCTCAGGGTATAGAGTACCCTCTATGTCCTAGCTGGATCAGGACTGGCCCAGGTCCCTGCACCTTCACCAGCTTCTGTATGTCTCCTTTCCCCTTGTCTCCCCTCCCCACACCTCCATTTCTGCTCTAGATTCCCAGCTCTGTTAAGGAAGGAAGTCCATTTCCGGCTTCTGTTCCCTATCCTGGGCCTGGCTTAGGCCTATAGTGCTAGCATGGAGGTGGAACTTGCTCTGCCCTTCCTCTCTGTGGTTTTCTTTCTGATTAGGGTGATCTGGGGAGAGAGATTGCATGGCAGACTCCATAGGCTTTCTTTGAAACTGGGGTCTTCTGTATGGACACATAGTAGAAGGAATTGCACACACTTTTTAGGAGGTCCGTGGAGATTTATGTCATGAATTGCAATGGGGAGAAGCAGAACTTGAACGGGGACAACAGGTCTGGACTCTTGGTGGGATTGCTTTGTTTGGCCTCAGCAACCTAGTTGGTGACAAGGACAGAGGGTGGGAACACCAGAGCCTGGGTACAAGCCAACTACTTGGTTGTCCCTACACTGACACCAAGACAATGAGGTCTAAGCAACTGTCCCCAAAGGGTCTTGTGCATTCACCACTCTCTGTAACAGTTCCCACCTCAGGAACAAACAAGTAATAACAACACAACTAATAGATACCTGAACAGTCAGTATTTGTACAGCCCAATGGTTAAATGGTATAGATAGCTTTTGTTTAGATAGAGCCCCATGCCTTCCTGCAAGCTGTACCATAGCATTTTCCAGGAGCCGAGGGCAGTGCCTACAGCACAGACCCTACCAACCTCCTCCACCTTCTTCTGGCTTCTCTCTCCTCAAGGATGAGGTACCCATCTCCCTTTCCACTGTGTCTCCAGGATGCTAACAGGCTTGTCTCTCACCCTGCCAGCAAGCATGCTTTGGGCAGCCATGAGTACATCCAATACTGCCGCAAATTTGACATCGACATCCGGCTACAGCTGATGGAGAAGAAGACCACACGCAGTGACCTGGCCCGCACGGTTTGTGTGGGGTGGTTGATGGTTGCACAGAGCCAGGGAGGTGGCAGGGACAGAGGTTGCTGTGAAACACATTAGGTGGGACTGGGCTGAGATAAGGGCACCACTCCTACTGAACAGGATGCTTTTCATACAGGTAAATGATGACCAGAGCCCCTCCACCTTGAACTACCTCATCCACCTACAAGAGAGGCCAGTCAAACAGACCATCAGCAGGTGAGAGTGGGTACCATGTAGGGCATGGCCTGGAGAGGAGCCATGAGGGGACCCAATGGATACTTGTGTCTGCCTGATTCTCTGTGAGGACTAAAGGATTCTTGCAGGTATCTGAGATTGGGACCTGAGTCTTGTGGGGGAAGGTCCCCACTCCATGGGAGATGGTCATGTTTTATCCCTTGCCCTCATTCTCCAGGTGAGAGGTGACAAAGAGAAAGGACTCCCTCTCTCCATCTTCACTGGAAATGGAAAGAATAGGAACTCCTTTGAAATCAGATCTTGATTCTTAAGCAGAGCAGGAACAGGAAAGGAATAGGTTCTCCTGGGCAATGGGTATTTTGTGACCTCTCCTGTGATCTTTCTCTGCCCCCAACTCCCCAGGCAGGCCCTGAGTCTTCTGTTTGACACGTACCACAATGAGGTGGATGCCTTCCTACTGGCTGATGTGAGTACCCCTCTGGGCCCTTCTTCTTCCCCAGGCTTTCTGGGATGGCCAGCACCAGGAGGGAGCTGGGCAGAGCTCAGCAGCGACTCTCTTATCCTCTAGCTCATGGGCGAGCCAAGACCATGCTGGCGTTTGAGCAGCAGGCAAGCATGTAGAAAGCGAGCTGCCCAAATTACAGGATGCTAAAACAAATCCACTGTGAGCGATCTTCAAAAATAATCCTTGCCAGGTTGATCCAGTTGTTCATCCTGGACTCTCTCCTTTGAGGAAACTGGGCATTGTGTCCAGCTCACCCTTTGCCCACTGCCAGAACCCCCATCCAGTGGCCTCTGCTTGAAGCTTTGCAGGGAGGAGCAGAGTGTTCCTGGGCGTGCGTTCTGCCATGTTCTGGCCCTGTGCTAGCAGCTGCTGAGGCAGTGAAATGAACAGCTTGTCTTAGCCTTTGGGGAGCTTGGGTTAGAAAAGTGCAATAATACCTTAAAGCTTTTAGTAGATGGAAGATGTCAGTCAGCTAATGAAGGATGACTGGAGGGCCCAAAGAGGTCCCACTGGCAGCAAAGGCTTTGGGAAGAAGGGAGGATTTCCCCTGGTCTCCCAATTGAAATTGACAAATGTAAGCCAGGCATGGTGGCACCCACCTATAATCCAGGACCCTAGGAGACTGAGACAGGAGGATTCCAATTTTGAGCCCCAGCTAGGCAATTTATTGAGACCCTATCTCAAATTTTAAAAAAACATAAAAAAAGGCTGGGGATGTAATTCAGTGTGAGGATCCTGAGTTCAAGTACTAGTACCAAAATACACAGATGTACAGACATGAATAATTAAGGAGAATACTGCAGAAGAGTCCAGATAAGAAAGCCACAAGAGCCGAAGTATAGAAGGGAGGTTAAGAGTGCAGCAGTCTATGGAAGGAGGTGTGGCCTGGAAATTCTGAGGCAAAGATTCTGAGAATAGGTCTGAGTGGGCAAGTGGGGCCTTGGCAAGGTCTCTCTGGTGTCCCTGCTAACCCTGTGGGTTGATTGTCTTAAAACTGTTGGCCCTGACCTGTTCCCATCCATGTGGAAGTAGACTGTAGACTGTGGGTGACAGGCAAGGTCTGAAGGACAAGGAGGGGATTGGGGCGCATGGGTGGGCATGGCCTATTTCACTGTGAGGGCAAGACTGTTTGCTGATGCTGAGTTTGGAAATGAAACATGCGTTGCACTAGCTCCCCTTCCAGTCATCAGAGCCTATACTGCTGACTCCTTCCTTCAGTGTCTTGGAGGGGGAGCAGAGGTCTGGTCTCACTGTGCAGCCTCCCACAGGGGGACTTCCTGCTGAAGGCCGACAGGGTGGTCCAGTCTGTCAAGGCCATCTGCAATGCCCTGGCTGCTGTGGAGACCCCAGAGATCACCAGTGCGCTCAATCAGCTGCCTCCCTGCCCCTCAAGAATGCAGCCAAAAATCCAGAAGGTAAGGAGGCCCTGGGCTCCTCTCTCTACCTCTGTTGCCTATGCTTAAGCTATCCAAGCGCAAGAGTGGTTGTGACATGGTGCCAAGCATGTCCCCTCATCCAGATCTGCCCTGGGGGCCTGCTTTTATGAATCCAGGCGGCAAAGGCTTTATTCCCAATCACCGAGGCATCACCTGACAGTTTGCTTATCCATCAATGTGCAAAACCAAACTGGGAAGAAAAAAATCTCCTGAGAGGTGAAGGGCTCAGAGCTGCCACAGTGGGGGCTGGGCACTATGCAGACAAAGCCATGGTGCTGTGGTCCTCCGAGGAGAGCCCGAGTGTGAGCTTTCACTAGGGTGGACACAGTGATGATTTTTATCCATGCCACCTCACTCCATCCATCCTGTGGCTGTGGTACAAACCATTACGCTATCCTCCCTGGGGAACTGCTGCTCCTCACATTTCAGCCAGGGTTGACCCAGCTGAGTGCAGCTGTGGAAAGCCTCCCTTGCAGCTGTGATGGAAAAAGCTGTGGCCCAGAGGCTCACTCCTCCTTTCTGCTCAACAGGATCCCAGCGTCTTGGCAGTGAGGGAAAACCGAGGTAAGGCGACCGCTCTCCTGTTGCATCCAGTAGGGGCAGGTGCAAATGCTCGCTCTGCCCCGATTCCTCCTTCCCCTCGGCCCCCTTGATTTATGCCGCAGCTTTCCTGCTGTGTGTGCACACTCGTGTGCGTCCCTAGGAGGTGTGGTTGCAACTACAGCCCACATTTCTTTCCGTAGATCATTTTCCCATTATTTTCACTGGTCATTTGCTTCAGTGGCCCCGAGAGAGGATGATGAGGCCGGCTAAGTGGGGTGGCAGGCAGGAGGCCAGGCAGAGCCCGTCTTTCCTCCCACAGGTGGAGCAGGTGGACGCTTCTCCAGTTGGCTCACACCCCCTGCATTCCCTAATCGAGAGTGGGCCTTGGGAAAGGATGAGCTTCATCACTGGGATTTCTCTAGGATTCCCCTGTGCAAACATCTAAGCAGAAATTTGCCCTAAATCCCATATCACTGGGATTTGGCAGGGAGTATTTCGGGAATTTAACCTAGGGTGTTGTGTATAATGCTAGGTAAGCATTCCACATTGCGCTATATCCCCAGCCCTAGACATTTTTATTTTTATTTGGTTTTTGAGACAAGGTTTCACTTGTAGTCTAGGATGGGCTTACACTTGAGCTCTTCCTGCCTGTGGAAGCCTCCTAAGTAGTGGGGGTTTTTAGAGATGTGTGCTACCATACTGAGCTGTATCACTGGGATTCTTACAGGGATTCTCGGTCTTTGAGACTAAACATTGTCCCAAAATGTATTTTGAGTGCCAACATAGAATTATTGATGTTTTCTTTTATTACAAAAATTTTTTTGGTGGTACTGGGTATTGAATTTATTTGGTGGTGCTGGACTTTAGACATGCTAGGTAGGCTTTCAGTCAATAAGCCACCCATCCCCCACCCCAGCCTCTCAGCTTTTTTTTTTTTTTTTTTTTTTGCAGTAGTGGGGATTGAATTCAGGACCCTGTCCCTTAGTTTTTTTTTTTTGTTTGTTTGTTTATTATTTATTTTTTTTATTTATTACATTTATTTATTGTGTGTGTGTGTGGCCAGCTCAGCCCACCAGGGGGCGGGGCTGGCTGGCATGTGGTGCTGGGGGATCGAACCGCGGTTCCTGTGCTTTGCCAAGCTTGTTTCAAGTAGGTGCTTTAGACCACTGAGCCATCTCTCCAGCCCCATCCCTTAGTTTTTTTAAATTTTTTTTGTAGAACCAGGAATTGAACTTAGGCCCTTGCACTTGCCAGGCAAGCACTTATTCTACTGAGTCATCTCCCCAGACCCCCTCAGCTTTTTTAAAAAAGATACTCCTGCTAGTTTTTGCTTTACCAAGAGATAAACTTTTTTTTTTTTTTTTTTTTTTTTGCGGAACTGGGGATTGAACTCAGGCCCTTGCGCTTGCCAGGGAAGTGCTTATTCCACTGAGCCATCTCTCCGGCCCAAGAGATAAACTTTTTAAAAATTTATTTATTTATTTATTTATTTATTTGGTATAGGGTCCTGCTACGCAGCTTGAACTCATAGTGATCCTCCTGTCTCAGCCTCCCCAGGTCTGAGATTATAGGTTTGTGCCACCACACCTGGTTTCAGTAGCTGGCATGGTGCAGGGCCAGCGTGGCATGCAGTATCAGGGATCACAGCCAGGTCCTTGTGCTTGCCAGGCAGGCACTTAAACTGCTGAGCTATCTCCCTGATCCCCGAGAAATAACTTTTTAAAAAAAGCTGCTTGTTGTGGTGGTGCACACCTATAACCTAGCACTTGGAGGATGAGGCGGGAGATTGTTATGAATTCAAGGTCAGTCTAAGCTATATAGTGAGATCCTGTCTCTAAAAAACAAAAACAACCCTGACAGTTATTATTACTATCATTTCCTGAAACATTTTGACATTAAGTAAGTAGGAATACATAAAAATAAGCACCATATTTAAAACTGAGTAATTATTGATCTGAAAAACTCAGGACATGCTCCTGCTTTTCCATCATTTTACCACAGATGGGTGAGGTTTGTCACAGGCATTAGAAACCAAGTGGTATTTGGAGACCACTGTCCTAGGCTCTTCCATCACAACAAGTACCATGGCAACAAGAAGACACTCACTCCCAAGGCCCTCATGACATGCGAGATTCCCCTCTGACCTTTTCCCTTCACAGAGAAGGTTGTGGAAGCCGTGACAGCTGCCATCTTGGACCTGGTGGAGCTGTACTGCAACACGTTCAATGCAGATTTCCAGACAGCTGTGCCTGGGAGCCGCAGGCATGACCTGGTCCAGGAGGCCTGCCACTTCTCTGGGGCCCTGGCCTTCACCATCTATGCCACCCACCGTATCCCCCTCACCTGGGCTACCAGGTGAGCTGGTGCCAAGCAGCTTCTAAGGGAGCTGGCCGCATTTGACTTCCTGTGGCTTCTTGCTTTCTGCATGTGCCCTCTCTGTCCTCAATCTAATAGTGGCATTGTGGTGCCATAGGGCTGAGGGGACTCCAGGCTGGGATATCTCAGAGAGAAGGTTCCCTAGGGGCCTAAGAAGCACCTGCCGTTTCCTCCAAGTGCTGGCTGCCAGGACATCCCTGCTCCCTCCAGATCCAAGGGCAGCTGAGGGAGACAGGCGACAGATGGCCAGTTCCCAGTGCTCGCTCCAGGCCAGTGACTGCACTCCCCTGTGGACCACAAAGGCAGGGGCAGGGAGGGGGATGCCCCTTTGTCTGGGGTTCCCTAGGCCTGCAGGGATGGGTGGAGAGGATGTTCATTTGGTAATCTCCCCTCCTCTGCTGGGTCCCCAGCATCCCCCTGGGGGAACAGGCATTTGGCCCCACCCCACCTTCACTGGCCCCCTCCCCCTCTCCTCCATCCCCTTCCGTCTTTGTTCCTTACTTAATGTATTCCTCTGGGCGATTGGCAGAGAACAAAGGAGACGGCCTGGGAAACAGGGGCCTTCTCTGACCTCTTCTGTCAGGCACCTGTCATGAGCCACAGGGACCCCCATGTGTTGGCATTCATGGCGGCATATGTCGCTTTCCTCCCCCTACCCTCCCCCGTGCGCATGCGCATATATGCACAATTGTGCACGCGTGCATGTATGAGCGGGTGGGCACCTGGTGGGCTAGAGCTAAAAGAAGAAAAACCCCTGTGCATTGCAGGCAACCTGAACCTGTAGGGGGAGGGTGTGTGTGTGTGACTTCTCTGAGAGTACACTTCCTTAATCCTCATGTGACTGTCGTCTTCCTCTGCTCCAGAGACTGTAAACCATGCTCCCAGGGGAAGTTTGGCATTAGGAGGACCCAAAAATTTGGGTGACGGAGATCAATTGGTGGGGCTGGTTGTCCTGACCTGCTCCCTTCCTTTTATAGCTATGAAGATTTCTACCTCTCCTGCTCACTCAGCCACGGTGGCAAGGAACTGTGCAGCCCCCTACAGACCCGGAGAGCACGCTTCTCCAAGTACCTGTTCCACCTGATCATCTGGGACCAGCAGTAAGCACTGGCCCCACCCCAGGCCCCTCCTCTGCCAACCTCTCATCCTCAGGTGTGCCCAGGGCAGATAAGCAGGCCCGGACTAGGGGCACAGGCCTATGTTAAACCAGGCTTCATAACTAATCCAAATGGACAGGTTGTTCAACCTCTTGAGTCTCATTTCTCTCACTATTAAATGTGCACAAGTGTAATTTCTACCTTGTAAGTTGTTAGGATCCAATGACAAGTATCCCTGAAGGCTCTTTATAATCTATAAAGGACCATAAAAATGAAAATGTTAGCAGTTAATTTTAATTATATCTTCTTGTTTTGATCTTGTCTCTTTTAAAGAGTTTAACCATCCTAGGGGACTCCTTTCTTTCCAAAGTTCCCTTGGGAATAGGCAGAGGGACCTGTACCTTGTCCCTTACAGATAGAGAAGGGTAGGTGGTCTAGAGAAAGGCATAATACACACGGAGCCATTTCTAGTTCTAGCGAGTCTGGTTCTATCTCTAATCCTACATTCTTTCTAGCCTTGTTGTGCCTCAGTTTCTCAAACTGAGAAATGGGGACATTTGTTGAACTCAGGGCAGCTAGCACACTGAAGTGAGGTAGGCAGGATGTACATAGGAAGCCTGAAGCACAAGTTGGTATTAATAACCACTTATGAACAATACTGTGATGTCAGGAAGGTAGGTCAGTCAAGCAAAGCAGGACGGAAATGAGCATGAGGGAGATTGCAGATGTTCGCCTGCTTCGCGCCTATCTGCTGCGCCTTATGCGTCCCCTAACAGTCACAAACCTTGTTTACTTCTCTGGCTTCACTTCCCCAGACTGATTATAGCTGAATTTTCATGTGTAGACAGCATGTACAGCTTAAGTATTTCTAGTGCAGATGAATCAACTGGGGGTGTAGGTCAGTGGTAGGGTATTGGCCAGCATGCATGAGGCCCTGAAAAAATGAAATGTAGAAAAAAGATTAGAGAGACTGAGGAAGGTTCTCGAAGCAGCCAAAGATGCATATATAGGTAAATACAGAGACCGGAAATGCTGGAAGGGGTGGGCCATTTTATAGACAACTGGGGCAACAGACTCTCTTCCCCATTCTTTACACCTTGGTAATTCTTAGTGGTGTATAGTTGGCAATAAAGCAAACAGCTGCCAGGGCGGGAGAAACTCCTTGGAGACCGAAGAAAGCTACATTAAATGGCCCCTGAGTTTCATTGTCCCCTTGGGATTCTCTGGCCTCAGTTACTGCTTTTATCCAGAGAAAAGGAGTACAGTGTTCTGGGCTTAGGGGAGCCCCAAGAAATTGGCCTTAGATCCTTTGCTCAGGCACCATCAAAGGGACAGAAGCAGCCCAGGCTGCCCAGTGGGTCTCATTCTGCTCCTGGTCTGAGATTCCAAAGAGACCAGCAGCTTAGAGCATAAAGACTGTAGAAGGCCAATGTCCTAGCACTTCCCACGCAGATGTCCCGAGTGAGCCCTTTGGGCCAAGACCAAGGCATTTGGGAGAAGGTAGCATGCTGGGGTTCGGAGCACAGGCTTTGGGCCGGCCATCCTCTCCATGCTGTCACCATGACTTTGGGCAGTTAGCCAGCCTAGAAATGGAGATGACGGCAGGGCTTCCTCTACAGGAGGAGTTAGAACGCTGTAAGTAAAGTACTTGGCACCTTGTGCATAATGAACGCTTTCCTCTTTGCATCTTCTTTGCTGTGTGTTTCAGTTCTGGTTTCTCTGTTCCAAATGGTTGTGCATGAGAATACCATAAGTGCAGTGACCCCAAGTGTCACATGGCAAGCAGTATACACGCAGCGTGTGTACACATCACACAAGTGAAACTGTACCCTTTGCCCCTGGTGAAGGCACAGAAGACCAGAGTGGAAGTCCAATTGCCCTGGTTGTGAGAGGCAGAACCAGGCCCAGAACCCAACATATTCAGGAGTTCTTCCTGAAGGAGGCATCCCCGCCAGGTGATGTTGAAGCGTGGGTTGCAGGAAGGAGAAGGGTTTCTCAGGCAGGGAGCACTAAGCTCTGTAGCCCACACAGTGGGTATCTGACTCACTCGGTAAGGTGCACGGGGGAGGTTCTAGAATGCGAGGTTCACACTGGTGCCTCAGTTCCTGCTCCTCAGGGTTAGAGTTTAGTTGGGAAGATGCTTCCCTCTCTTCCTTCAGACATGGTGCCAGAGGCTTCCTTCTTGGGAGAAAAGCAAGGCTCACGACCACGTTCCTCTCCTCTGGGCTGTGAGGTCAGCTGATTCCCCCAACTCCGGCAAGCAGGGATCAGCTAACTCTCAGAATAGGTCTGGCAGCTGTACTCTGTCACCTCCAGCCAAGCCCCAGCCTGGCATGTCCACTGGCTGCTGGAGGGGCCCTAATTATAGCCAGGGGCCCCTCAAGATAGCGGCAACTGGGACTGAGTTGGTCTGTGCCAGTCTGTGACGGGCAGGCAGGAATGCCTCACTTGGGTGGCAGTTCCCTGGAGGAGTGAGGGGCATTGTGGAGGGAGGCTGCTTTACCTCAAACTGCTGACAACCCCACACCCAAACCCCGGGGGCTGCTGGGCCCTGGGCAGGCCAGGAGGTGTGGCAGTGTGGACTTTGGCCCAGGGACAGCTTCCTGGAAAGGTAATGTGGGTCCTCCCTCTTTGCGAGGCTCCCTTACTCTCCCCATCCCACCCCACCCACAGCTCTTCACCCTGAACTTGAAGAGCGTGGCTGGGTATAGCCCAGCAGGGCAGCCCCTGGACCACATCTGGCGTTGGGCTGTGGTGGGCTTGGTTGTTTCGGGTCTCTTGCTCTTGCTCCTTGGCTTTCTCACTGCTCAGGGCCTTGGAGAAGCCTCAGCCCTTTTCCCCTTTGGCTCTGGAATAGTTTGGGGATGAAAGCAAAGCATCATGTGCCCTGTGAGCTCAGAGAAGGGAAATGGCCAGGTGGGAGAGTGAGCCCCGGGCAGAACACGGTGACTCTTCCTGTGGCTCTCAGCAGGGGCACGTGGGGGAGGGATGATGCAGTCCAGTGGGAGAGGAGGACCACAGGAGCTGCTTTGCTGGCCCTTTGTGAGAGCTCTACAATGAGGAGAGGAGGCCAGCTCACGCAGTATGGAGTAGGCGACCTAGACTGAGGTGGCCCTGGCTGAGAGGGCTCTCCCTGGGGACCAGGAGTGACACCCCACAATCAAGGCATGTTTCACTCTAACGCAGGGCCCCAGGACACTGTACTGTGCTTTGTGGCGTGTGCAGTGTAAGTGTTTCCTGGTTTGTGACCTGTCCCAGCCCTACAAGGAGCTTTCCCCAGGGAAGAGCTGACACTGAGAGGGGGGCCAGATTCTCTGCCTCTGCTTGACTTCCAGGGCACCTGTCCCTTTCAGCCTACTGACTTTGTCTCCTGTCCCTTCCAGGATCTGCTTCCCAGTGCAAGTGAACAGGCTGCCCCGGGAGACTCTGCTGTGTGCCACCCTCTATGCTCTGCCCATCCCCCCACCAGGGAGCTCCTCAGAGGCCAATAAGCAGCGGCGGGTACCGGAAGCCTTAGGCTGGGTCACCACTCCGCTCTTCAACTTCAGGCAGTATGTGAGCCCCAGCGGGGCAGCCTCTTGGCTTTGGGAGGGGAGGAGATGGGTGGAGAAAGGGGTTCAGTTACCGTTATGGCTAATGTCTCTTGGGAGGGTTGACCACACTGGGCTCATGGGTGAGGTTGAGAGGGTTCCATTCTCAAGAGAGAGGCTGGAAGTGCAGAATGTAGTGACCAATATTGTTGATGGAACCAGCAGCCATGGACAGCACGGTGGAGAGAGAGGCATGAGAATGCAATGCTTGGCTACTACGGCATCCGGTCTTGTCACAGGAGGCTACCAGATCATCCAGGCTAGGGAGAGGTTAGCTCAGGGGCCTTCTGGGGCGAGGTGAGCATTTCAAGGACGTGGAAGAGGAAAGAAGCCATGGGCCTCAGGGAAAGTGAAAGAGAAAGGAGTGAAGTAGGGGCTTTAAGCAGAAATGGCAGAGCTTTGCATTGGGCTAGCAGGAGAGAAACCATCCCCTTGGCCAGGTGTTGGCTCATCTCACCCCACTTCCGCCTCAGAGTCCTGACCTGTGGCCGGAAGCTTCTGGGTCTGTGGCCAGCAACACAGGAAAACCCCAGTGCTCGCTGGAGTGCACCAAATTTCCACCAGCCGGACAGCGTCATCCTGCAGGTGAGAGCCCGACGTGCTTTCCCCACCCTTTGAGGAACCCCAGAGTAAGGTCTGGGCTGGAACAGGAGGAGAAAATGCTGGAACTGTGACCATGGGGTGATAATGTGACCAAAGTGACTGCGTGAGTGTGCTGAGAGCCAGAGTGGCAGGGCGAGCCTCATGGTACTCATCTCCTGTGGCCTGGAGGTGAACTCTGATTTCAAGGAGACTGACCGTCTCCTCCATCCAGGGCTCGGATTCACAGAGTCCCTTGTGTTGAACACTCATACTTCTAAGTCTGATTGTACCTGAACTGTCCCCACACAGGGTTGTGACAAGAGTCTGGCTAGGTTCTAGGTCTAGTCACTAGTCCCCAGCTCTCTTTTCTTGTGACAATGAGATGCTTTGGTATGGAATAAGAAATAGCAAAGCTGACAGGGAATAAAATAAAAAGATACAGCATGTATGCTCCAAGAGGCAAGAATTTTTGTCTCTTACTGCTCTATGCCCAGGGCCTAGAATAAGGCACATATTAGGATTCATTAAGCATTTCTTGAATAAATGAAAGATCTGTAAAGAATGGGTTTGCTCAGTTGTGACATCATCTTAGGAGGACACCATTCTGGTTGCATAGAGCAAGGGACCTAGTGTTCCAGGCCTTAAAGTTGGAAGGGCCCTTACACTGTGTGGCCCAACTTTAGCTGGCTGTATTGCCTCCGCAACCACGCTGAGGGCTCATTCTGGTGGTACCTGTTCCAAGCCCTTATCCTTGTCCTCTCAGGTAGGAACAGCTCAACACAACACAACCTTTTCCTCACTTGCCCAGTCTCTCTCAGTCAGTCTCTGTCTGTCTGTCTCTCTGTTTCGATTGATTGATTGATTGAAGAGATTTTGGGGGTCATGAAGATCACCTGGGTTATTTTATAGAGAACCTGAGGGGAAAGGAAAGTGGGGATGGAGAGCAAGGCAGAAATCCTGAGTCTGAGAGAGGCAAGCTGGGGACCCAGGGAGGTGGCTGTCCCAACTCATGCCACTTCCATTCTTCTTCCTTCTGTGATACCTCCCCTAGATTGATTTTCCCACCTCAGCCTCTGACATCAAGTTCATCAGCCCCCCTGGAGACAAGTTTAGCCCCCGCTATGAGTTTGGCAGCCTCCGGGAAGAAGACCAGCGCAAGCTTAAAGACATCATGCAGAAGGAGTCCCTGTACTGGTGAGGCTCAGGCGCCCCACACAGCCTATCCTGTTCTGTCTGGCCTTCTCTTAGCTCCCAGACCTGGTCTCTGCATTGTGAGAGTGGAACTGGGCTAGGGCAGACATCACCACCTAGGCAAGAGGTGGTGGCCCTTCCCCCTGAGCTGACACTAGGCAAGGTGGAGAAGGTAGCTCAGGAAATTAGATCTGAGAAAGCCCATCTCCATGCTGGGAGGAGATCTGGCTCAGCTACCACAGAGGACCAGCGCTTTGTCCCCACCCCTCACAGGCTGTCTACTATTCATTGCCTGCCGGTTGAGGTGGCCGGCTGCTGTCCTTGCCTCCCTGCCCCCACCTCCACCCCAGCCTTCACATTTTTCTGGTTTTGTTACTTTCCAGAAAGGATCAGGTGTCAAGGCAGGCTGGCAGCTCTCAAGGGTAAATGAGTCCAGGCTGAGCTCATCTTGGGGCTGCTGTGATCACCAGGATTGGACAAGGAGGGTTGAAGGGGGAGAGCTGGAGGGGCAGGTGGTTTGGGCTCCTCCCCACCTGTTTTTCTGATTGCCTCTTGGACTTCCACAAAGCCCTTTACAGTGCCCATTGGGGAAGGAGAAAGGTGGGCTCATCTTTGACCTTCATGTCCATCCAGGATAGCCAGAGCAGCTGAGAGACTTCAGGCCTTCCCCACCCCATCCTCTGCACACCACACACTTCATTATTCCCTGAGCTCTCTATCTCATTGTTCTCCTGATCTCAGGCAAGGCCAGTTGGCCACAGGCTCTATAAAACTGACAGCTGGCCCCAGGAGGCCTCTCAGCTGTGCAGCCCCTGGCTCTGGGGGCTACTGTCTCCCAATGGTTCTGAGTGGTACCCACAGGGTCCCCAGGAAGGGTAGCAAATTTGGTGGCCTTGGCCCATGCCTTCTGCCTCAGTCTGACACGGGCCTGAGTCAGGTCAGAGATGAGATTCACACCTTACTTTCCAAACTCTGCTTCCCCTTGAGGTCACCTAACGATATGTTAAAAACATCCAGTGCCTAGCTTCCACAGACATCCTTAGTTGGCCTGAGGAATGTCCCAGGCGTTGGGAAGGCACCAAGCCTCTCAGGTGACTGACTCTAAGTGTGGAGAAGGAGGGTGGGCTCTGAATAGTAGCTTACAGTGCATAGAGCTACTCCACCCTCCTGCCAACTCGGCCCCTCCCGTCCATCCTGCAGGCTCTCTGATGTGGACAAAAAGCGCCTGTGGGAGAAGCGATATTACTGCCACTCGGAGGTGAGCTCGCTCCCCCTGCTGCTCGCCAGCGCCCCCACCTGGGAGTGGGCTTGCCTGCCCGACATCTATGCTCTCCTGAAGCAGTGGACCCACATGAACCACCAGGATGCCCTGGGGCTCCTGCATGCCACGTGAGTCATAGGGCCCACTGGTGCCCACCCCTGACAGGGATCCTGGGGGAAATGGTGAAGTGGGTGTGGCTTTTTAGGGCATTTCCATTTCTCCTTTTTGCTCTTTGTCATTTCCCCCTAATATCATATCTTAAACATTTTCCAAACATACAACAAAATTGAGAATTGCACAGTGACCCCCATGTTCCCACTACCTACATGTTACTACCAGCCTTTACTCTGTATGCTTTGTCACATGTCTGTTCATCCTTCTGTCTGTCTATCTGTTCATCTTACTTTTTATTTTATTTATTTATTTATTTTTTTTTTCATCTTACTTTTTAATGCATTTTGAAGTAAATTGCAGACATCAGTAAGCGTCCTCCTAAAGATATCAGTACGTCAGGTCAGGGAGATAGTTCAATCCCCAGTACAGAAGAAAAAAAAAAAAAAAAGGAAAAAAGAAAAAGATACCAGTACATTATTAACTAAAGCTCAATATTGTGTTATTTATTTATTTATTTATTTATTTTGGCGGAACCAGGAATTGAACTCAGGCCCTTGTGCTTGCCAGGAAGTGCTTATTCCACTGAACCATCTCCCCGGCCCCCCTTTTTTTAATTTTTGAGGCAACATTTATATATAAAGAAATACCCAAACTTTATCTATACATTGGCAGAGTTTTGACAAATGCATATAGCTTTCACCCAAACCCTTCTCATGGAGCTCTACCCTAGTTGTGCTCTCTTCCCTCTTTCCCCTGAAGGTCCTCTAGGGATACACGGTTCCTAGTCTCAGAACCCTGAGCTGCTTCCTCAGTGTACCCAGGGTTCCCGGCTTATTTTTGCCACTCTCTGTAGTGCTTTAACCCATGTGAGGACTCTACAAAGATGGGTCTATCTGGCATAGTGGGAGTCAAGAAGAGATCTTTGGGAGCATGGCAGAGGACTTTGTGCTGTTTTCTTTAATCATCTAAAGAATAAGAATGGCCACCCTCTTGTTCCTGCCTTTTCCCAGGAGTAAGGTCCCAGGTAGACTCTGCTATTTCCCAGGATGGCTCTTCACAGCAGGGGCTAATTCTGTGGAGGATTTGGCAGATCATGGGGATATTGCCTTTTCCCATTCTATGCCTGTGAAGCCCTGGTATGAAGATATTTGGGTCATAACTAAGTCACAGAGCCTGCAGCTGAGTTGTCAGGTTCTGGGCTCCTTTTTGCAGCTTCCCAGACCAGGAGGTGCGCCGCATGGCTGTCCAGTGGATTGGCTCACTCTCAGATGCAGAGCTACTTGACTACTTGCCCCAGCTGGTGCAGGTGTGTGCATTGTCTTCCCTCCCGTTCTGATGGTTCCAACCCAGGGGCTGAATAGGTCTGCATTCTGACCCTTTGATCCTATTCCTGAACAGGCCCTAAAGTATGAGTGCTACCTGGACAGCCCCTTGGTGCGCTTCCTCCTGAAGCGAGCTGTCTCTGACCTGAGAGTGACACACTACTTCTTCTGGTAAATGCCTGTGCAGAGGGGAGGGAGACAGAGATGTCTTTGTGGGACTCTTTTGCCCCTACCCATGCAGAACTGAGAGGTTGAGTGGTCTGCGCTGGTCTCATTTTATCCCTATAATTCAGCAAGGATCATCCCGGCCCCTCCTACCCAGCCACCCATGGCAGAAATAGGGAGCGGAAATGAGCTGCTTAGGACAGGGTGGGCACAAATGAGCACTTCTGTCCAGTGTGTGTTTTGGGGGCCAGGCTGGGATCAGTTTCTGGTGAGTTGGAGCTGGCTCAGACCCTGCTCCTGTCTGCCACTGCTTGCAGTCCCTAGAGGGGCCTGACCCCTACCTCCTGCCTCACAGGTTGCTAAAGGACGGCCTCAAGGACTCTCAGTTCAGCATTCGATACCAGTACCTGCTGGCGGCCCTGCTGTGCTGCTGTGGCAAGGGGCTGCGGGAGGAGTTCAATCGCCAGTGCTGGCTCATCAACACCCTGGCCAAGCTGGCCCAGCAGGTCCGAGAGGCTGCCCCATCTGCCCGGCAGGTGAGCAGGCGGCCAGGCTGCAGCTCTGCCTGCTTCCACTTCTGGTCTGGGGCTTCTGCAGTGAGGAGTGTACCTCTTGGGCCCTTGACCAGCTCTGATTTAGGAGATAGAAGGCAGTGACTCTGGCACCTGTGGGCCACAAATAACTCACAAGCTAGATATAGGGCCTGGATGTGTTTTGTTACGCCTGCAAAATACTGAAACCGTGTATTTAGTGCTGTCTGCCTCATGGGCTGAGCACAGTGGTATAAGCTGATGATTGCACAGCAGCACCCAGTCAGAAAGAACAAGCACGGGCTGAATGCCAGTCATGTTTTCACCGTGCTGTGGGGCTGACGAAAGCACCAGAGGAGTCTCTGTCTACATGAAGGTATCGCATGAGGCCAGCAGTATTCTGGTTGCTGACATTTAAAGATTTTAATCTGACTTAAGATTTTCATATTAAGGTCTAGATTGCTGGCATTTTTTGGCAAAAGTGCCGGTAGCCCTTGCCCTCAGAGACACTACCAGCCCCAGCTCTGTGGGCTGCTGCTGCTCACCCTCAGCTGGCCTCTGGAGGTGCCTGGGTGGGCTGCTCCTGCACTGAGCCAGGCTGGGCTATGTGGGTGCCTGTCCTAAATGTCTCCCAAGGTCAACCCCAACCCTGTTCTCAGGTGTGCCTGGCTCTGAGTGGAGCCTAGGGGCTCCCATCTCACCCCCACGTTACCTGTCCTCTCCGCAGGGCATCCTCCGCACAGGTCTAGAGGAGGTGAAGCAGTTCTTTGCCCTCAATGGCTCCTGCCGCCTGCCACTTAGCCCCAGTCTGCTGGTGAAAGGCATTGTGCCCAGGGTGAGTGGCTGTGGCTTTGGGGCTTTGCAGGAAGGGAAGTTGGCGGGGGGTGGGGGAGGTCCTCAGTGCTCTGGCTGTTGAGGAACAGGAGGAAGGAAGGCATATCTATGGCTTCTTCCCAACCCTGCTGGTGTGGCGCTGAGCTGAACAGGGTCGTGAGGCTGGGTGAGAGCTGGGTGAGTGTCTCTCTTGGTGATGCCAGAGGTGGATGATGGAAACTATCGCTGTCATCTATGGGGGTCTTTTGCCCAGCACTGGTCTGTGTGCTTCAAGTCGATTATTGTATCTCTTCTTTGTAACTCTTGCAAAGCTTGTATTATTGTGAGCCCCATTTCACAGAGGGGTAAACTGAGTTATAAATGGACATGGAACTTAGCAAGAGTCAAAAAACTAGTACATTCTGTGCAGAATAAAAGGAAAGGATGAGAGACCAGGTGCCAGAACTGAGGGTCTAATGAACTGAAATAAGATGATGAATTTTGGTTCCTCAGAAATCTGGAAGAAACTATGAGCAGGTATTAGGGGACGTTGGCAGCAGAAGGGTGGGCAGCATTGCAGTCCGACATAGAAAGGTCATGGACATGGACCACCCTGACCCTGGCCACCACCCTCTCTCCCACACAGGACTGTTCCTACTTCAATTCCAACGCAGTACCCCTCAAGCTTGCCTTCCAAAATGTAGACCCACTGGGCGAGAACATCCGGGTCATCTTCAAGGTGAGAATCCTTTGCTCAGCAAGGGGGAGGAGGGTGGCAGAGAGGAGGGGCCCCCATATGGCAGGACAGTTTGTTGCTCACTATTTCATTGTTCCAGGCTGCATTTTTGCTTTCTTTCTTTTTCTGTTTTATGGTGTACTTTCTTTTGGTACCTGAGGGGCAGGGGTTTTACCCCTGCTACCTTGCTGCCTTTTATTATGGGAAGGACTACTAGGTAACAAAGGTATAGATGAACTCTGCATGGCCCCAGAGAGCTACAGAGATTAGGAAGTGTAGAAGCAACTAATAGTAATTTTCTGGGAGGCAGAGGTGGCGATCTGCTCTGGAATATTCAAGCAGAGCCTGAATGACCCTGTGGCAGGGATGTCAATGAGGAAATTAATATATCAGGTGCAAGTTGGACTAGAAGAGCCCTATGTTTCCTTCTGACTAATGCCTCCTAGAGTCTGAGAGGTAAATGCTAGCCTCTGTGTATAACGTGGGAGAGGTGCATGCAGGTGCGGGTTGAGGAGGGCTGGGGATGTAGCTCTGTGGTGTGGCACGTGTTCAGCACGTGCAAGGCCCCAAGTTCAAATCCCAGTGCTTCAGGGTGGAGTGGTGGGGAACATATAGGTGGCCTAGTGGCTTATAGAATCTATTTGCTGTGTATAATTTCCAAATCTAGTATACACTTTCTAAAAGACCTGGTGGTCAAGTGGACTACATCTAAAAGAGGAACCTGACTTCAGGTCAGATGGGCTGCTGTGTGGCAGGAAGAGTGGGACATTCCAAAGAGGGAAAGTGTGAAGGCCACTGACCCCTCTGTGGTTCTGTGACCTGGTGTGAGCTATTGAGTAGGTCAAAGGTGCAAGGTGGGTGAAAGGGACAGTCTCTGCCTGTCACTGTAGCTTGGGCCTCTGCCAGGTCTGGGAGCCAGAGGAGGCAGTGGAAATGGGTTCTGTCACTCTCTTCCTCCATCTAGTGTGGGGACGACCTTCGCCAGGACATGCTCACACTGCAGATGATTCGCATCATGAGCAAGATCTGGGTCCAGGAGGGGTTGGATATGCGCATGGTCATCTTCCGCTGCTTCTCCACTGGCCGGGGGAGAGGTGAGTTGGGAACCATGGGGTGCGGTAGGCACAGAGTGGGAGGAGCTTTGCTTCCTGCCCTTCTGCCCTTCCCTCAGCACAAACTGTGTGCTCCTCCTTGAAAATGAAAAGGGCAGGATTATTTCACTAGAAGCTATGAAATGTATTGTTTTAAAAAGAGGAAGCAGGGAAAGAGCATTGTAAAATAAAACAATCTTGGAACCACAATGACCTCAAAGGTTGTGGGCTACCCCCATGCTTCACTTTGGATCCTGATCCAGACAAACCACTATAGAGAAGTAATTGGGGGCAGGATGTTGAGATATAGGATCTCACTGTGTAGCCCAGGCTGGCCTCATCCTTGCAGGGATCTGCCTGCTTCATTCTCCCAAGTGTGGGATTACAGGCCTGCGCTACCACCCCCAGTGTAAAGAAGCATTTTTGAAGTGACTGGAAGAAATATGAGTATGGACTGGGTTAAAAAAGTGACTGTTCATTTCTGGAGGTGACAGTGACAGGTGAAACAAGATTAGCAAAATGTTGGCCATTTTTGAAGCTGGGTAATGGTTACAAGATAAATTGATGAAATCATTCTTCTCATTCATATATATATTTGAAGATTTCTATAGTAAAAATTTAAATCTAAAATAAAAGGAGCAGCCATGAATGCGGGGGGGACACTAGGGAGTCCGAGTCTGCAGTTTGTGATGGGGGATGACCTTCCTGCCTGCTGCGGTGCTTGGCCCTACTGGCAGACTTTGTGTAAGGGCCAGAAGTCAATTTCATGGGGTAGTGTTGGCACAGTTCTCATGTGCATTCATGTGCGCATGTGCGTGTGTCACTGAGATTAAATGGAAGGCTTTCACACTGAGCTATATCCCCTGTCCTTTTTTGTTTTTATATATATTAAGACTGTTGCAAAAGTTTCTAAGTTGCCTAGGCTGGGCTCAAACTTGCAGTCTTACTGCTGCTACCTCCCAGAATGGATTAGGCATGCACCACCATGGCTGGCTACAGCACAGCTTCTGTAGGCCCATCCCTATAGTCTCTCTGCTCCAGAGTGTGACCCCAGTCCCTTATGTCACAGGGATGGTGGAGATGATCCCTAATGCTGAGACCCTACGCAAGATCCAGGTGGAGCATGGAGTGACTGGCTCCTTCAAGGACCGGCCCCTGGCTGACTGGCTGCAGAAACACAACCCTGGGGAGGACGAGTATGAGAAGGTAGGATTAGGGGACTTGAGAGCCCCACTGGCTTTGGTGTGCCTGGCTCTGGTGCTTGGCTCTAAAGAGATGAGCCAGTTTTGTTGGGTGCTGAGACATACTCTGTTCGTGGACTGATGCCTCTGTATATCCGGGGATGGGTCAAAATGACTTTAATTACTTCACTGCCCCTATCCTGCTGGTGACCAGTGAAACCTTCACTTGGTTTCCCAATCAGAGTGAGTCCTGGCAAAGGGGGCCAGCTTTAGAGAATCTACCAGTATCCATGTTCCTTGGGGGTCCTGAGCAATCCCCCTGTTGCTCTCAGAGGGCTTCAGTGATAGGGTATAGAATGAGAATTGGTGGGAAAAGACCTTAGAGATTCTTTTATTTGAATCCCTTTCATGAGTGTGAATTCAGACTCACTTTCTTATTCTTGGTAATGGAGTTGGTTTGTACAAGACTATAACTAGAAGCCAAGGCTGTGTTTGGTATGAGCCTAAAATGGTAAAGAAGAGCCCTGATGGGTTCCTGAATAGACCACAGATTGGAAGTGGAGATTTCCTGGTTGGTAGGGCCTTGGTCAGCTTCCGTGGCCCATAGACAGTCCGCAGTCTCTTGCCTCCAATCCCTGGGTTAATAGGACTGGACATACGTGTAGTCACCACAGTGTGGTGGGGGTGGGGAGAGGAGGGAGGAAGTCACAGTAAGACTGCCAGAATGCTGATAAACATGGATTTCACTTCAAGAGGATTGGATGCTAATTTATATTGATCAGAGCATTGTATTCCTGAGGGTAGACGCACACATGGGCAGCCAAATTATGATCAGATTGTTGTTCAGAGAATGTGTAATTAGATGATCTTAAATGGCCCTAAGCACTCGTGGTCCCCAGAGTGCAGTCCCTGGCATGCTCTGCTCTCTCTGCACTCTGCCTACACCAGTTCCTCTTGCTACTTCTCTGCTCCCACCCATGTGCTGATAACTTCCAAAGCCCTCCATCTAGGCTTCTCCTTCCCTGCAGCTGTTCATTCCAGAGCCACTGGCTAGATGGACTCCTTTACATGTGGCCTAGTCATACTCAAGACTGAGCTTTCTGTCTCTGTTTGCCTCCCAAAGCCCACCTTCTGTGTTTCCTCTCAGTAAAGGGGAAGGTTCGCCATGCAGTCACCCAAGCCAGGGCCATGGGCTTTCTCATGATTCTTCCTGTCTCCCTTCTGCCAGACCAACCCCGGTGGATTCTCTTGCCCAATTCTCTCTATTCTGACTTCTGTTTCTGTTTCTACTATCACTTTGTTCAACTATGTGTTTTCTGTCCCCTGAATTTTTGGAATACATCTCCTTTTATCACCTCATCTGCTTGATTTCAGAAGGTTTGTAAAGTACAGGCTTGTTCATGTCACTCACTTGCTCCAAAAGTCTCCATCCTCGTACCCTTAGGATTATGTTCAAGCCCTGCTGGCCCTGTAGCCTCATCCACCACCCCTGCTCATTGTATGCTAACTTGGGCTCCAGCACAGGGACTCCTTACATGTCCTTGATGTCTTTAGATGAGAGTAGTCCTTTCCCTGGAAAGCTATTCTTCCATCTTCCATCTCCCCAAATCAGCCTCTCTATGTGTAAACTTCAAGGCGCTCTACCCTTGGGAGAGGACTGGTATTGATTCTTTCTACTTCTCTTCAATGCACATGCTAGTATTATGACAGGATTCCTCCCTAAAGGGGCGTTGTGTGAGGCCCTTGGATTATAATTGCTCCTTGTCAACATAGTAAAGACTCTTTCATAATCAGGGTACCAGAAGTACATACAACAGACATACATTCACACCGAAACTAACTTTTGTGTTAATGTTTAATTTTAGCCTTGCAAGGTAGCTTCTCAGCTCTTGTAGCTAGAACAGTGCTGGTAGTTCTCTGTGATAATTTCTGAGAGAAGAATGAAATATTTTTCTCGTGGTGACCTACTCAACAAAGACAGCACTCCATATCCTACAGAAGGAACCCTTAATCTAGGAAAGTGCCTTTCATAAAGTAACACAACCATTTTTTTCCTGCAAGCTGCTAGCACCCTCCCTAATGCAGGGAGGTGGTAAGAGATTAGTCATTAACCCTCACACGCCACTGTTTGGTAAATCAACTTGGGATTCTTCTGAGGTAGAAGGGGCACTTGTGACAGGGGAAGATTGATGGAGATGAAGGTCAGGGGTGGGATCTGATGGGTCTTCCTCCTTATTGAGCCATTTTTCATTCACAAATTTCTCTTTCTTACACATGGGCTTTGCTCTCAGAAGTGCGTTCTGTGATAGCTTTCCCACAAGTCCCATTCTTAGTTTCCAGGGCATTTGTCATCTGCTTGTAACTCCACAAGTTGCTGAGTGGGACTTTGTAGCTAGTTTTGCAGTTGGTCTTGTAGAATAGCCAGGAAGCTTTTGGAAGGTTGGATTCTCTCAACCTGGTGGGCTGAAAAGGGTACGTGGGCATCGCGTGGACAGTGGTGGCCGTGGACGTGGAGGGCCCGAAGGAGAAGCCAGTGTGAAATGAGGTCTGGAAAGATGTGGGATGCAAGGAAGGCCTTGAGGATGGGCGGGAATTTGGGAGGGAGGCGGAGGATGTGGGATGTGAGCGTTCTATATCTGGCAAGCTTCCTCAGTCCTGATTCCATACATTCTTAATGGATTATGACAATTTTTTTCTTGTTCCAACTTTGTACTTTCCTAGGAACATATATTGCTGTCCCTTTTATTCTCAACTTTATACGTTCCTACTGGGTGGCTGCCCTCTACGTGTCTTTCTTGAGTTCCTGAGAGAATTTTTCAAACTTCATAAAGAGGAAGTAGGTGGAAGGGGCCCATCTGCTGAGTCCATGTATTTTTACTTCCTCAGAGAAACAGAGAAAGTAAGGGGGACCCAAACCCTCACTACTGTCCTTCTTCTTTAAACTCAGAAATATCTCTAACACATTTTATTAACAAGAGATGTCAGGTTTTGCAAGTGTAAAACATCCCCAAAAGTGTGAAGCTGCCTCAGCTCTTCTTTGGAGTGCAGTGATTTAATTAGATAAGCATTTAGCTGCTGCCAAGAGTTCTGGGAGTGGAGTTTTATTTGGAGCAGGAAGAACTCTGGGCAGGGTCAGAAAGGCACCCGTAAGTGCCTTGCTCAGTAGCTGTGCCCTAAGGAGGTCATGATGACACACTGGGAAAGCCGTAAATGTCATTAGGGTCTCCATAGTCTGGGCCACTCAAGTCTGGCCTTTTGGGTCAGTCTTTGCAATCAGTGTCCCAGAAGAAGACAAAGTTCAGAAGGGTGGGGTTACATATAAATGTTCCATCTCCTGTTTCTATAGAATACATAGGATGTCTCTATAGGGGTGTGTGTGTGTGTGTGTGTGCGTGTTACCACATGATAAAAGATGAACAGACAGATGTGAGGTGCTGTTGGGGTTATATGAGAGGGTGACAAGGGTTGGCTGCATTGAGCCTGGCTGTGTCCCTGACCAGGTTTATATCCTCTCCTCCCCCCTACCCACTTTCCCTGACCCAGGCTGTGGAGAACTTCATCTACTCCTGCGCTGGCTGCTGCGTGGCCACTTATGTTTTGGGTATCTGTGACCGACATAATGACAACATCATGCTGAAGACCACCGGCCACATGTTCCACATAGATTTTGGCCGTTTTCTGGGCCATGCTCAGATGTTTGGCAATATCAAGCGGTAAGTAGTTTCTAGAAGCTGGATGTGTGTGTGGTGTGTGGAGGGCAAGCCGTCAGGATGGGGGGGGGGGGTTCCGAGCTGAGAAGCAGGTCTGTGATGGAGGGCAGCCCCAGAGCATTGTCCTTGGGCTGAGCAGCTTCCAAGAAGAGCAGATTGATAAGGAGGTGGGGTCCTTGCAGGGTCTTACAAAAGAGGGTGGGGGACTGGGGAGATCATTCGGCAGTCTAAGCGCCTGCCTGGCAAGTGCAAGGACCCGAGTTCAATCCCCAGTGCCATACACCATGCTGGCCCCAGGACCCCGGGTGCGTTGAGCTGGCCACCAAGTCTGGGTGTGGTGGTGCACACCTGTAATGCCTGCACTGGGGAGGCTGACGTGAGTCCCAGCTGCATAGTGAGATCCTATACTAAATGAATAAATAAATAAATAATTTTGAAAATATTTTTTAAAAAAAGAAGAAGGTGGGGCTGATCTTTCTCCTTACTGAGCAGTGAACAAAGTGACATAAGCCCAAACTCCACCAATAGAGACACAGCTAGGCACCCAGGAGAGAATATTGCTGGCCCACAGGGACCTTCTCTCTCTGGGGATCTCTTCAATTTTTGAAATGAGGTCTCTATCCATAGTTTGGGCTGACCTTGAACTTACTATGTAGCCCACAGTAGCTCCTAAAACTGACTGCAAATTATTGGAAATGCCTCATAGAATTCACTCTGTGGTTTTGCTTTCTCATAGGTCTTTTTCTTAGGCCTATGAGAAGGCACTACAACAGAGCAAAAAGCATGAAAGGCCTAATAATTTTTCTTTTAACCTTAGATACTTGCATATCTAAGAGATTTGTGCTACTCCTTGGGGTGGTAGCTTAGGAAACGAACGTGAATTCACTCGTGTTTAGAGGAGGTGTCGGAGCAAGGCAGATTTGTCTACACCAAGTGCTCCTAAAATAAATTGCTGGAAGCAGTTTGGCTGTAAGATCCCAGGAGTTTTGAAGCTGTCACTGTTTGCCCATAATGTAAGTGGAGCCTGAGGAATTGTGGCAAGGCAGCTAGGATGACTGGATTAAACGTCCGTGCTTTTAAGAAGAGCAATCTTGAAAACAAAGAACTTCATGAAGGTGACCTTGATGAATATTGAAGGAATAATATGTGAAATTCCTTAAATAAAAACTTACTTAATTAGTACACCAGGTATGGTGGTGCACACCTGTAACCCAACACTTGGGAGGCTGAGGCAGGAGGATTGCTGTGAGTTCAAGGCCAGCCTCAGCTACAGAGTGAATTCAAGTCCAGTCTGAACTCCATAGAGACACCCTGTTTGAAAAAAAAAAAAAAAAAGAAGAAGTTTAGGGGGATAAAAGCAAGTTAGAGCACTGAGGGGAGCCTGCACCCCCACTCTGACTTTCTTCCCTGTTTCCCTTGACCCAGGGACCGTGCCCCCTTTGTCTTCACCTCGGACATGGCGTATGTCATCAATGGGGGTGACAAACCTTCCAGCCGCTTCCATGATTTTGTTGACCTTTGCTGCCAAGCCTACAACCTCATTCGCAAGCACACCCACCTCTTCCTCAACCTCCTGGGCCTGGTAAGCAGCTGTGCCCCTTTCTGAAAACCTCCTTCTTATCATCTGGCACCATTATTCTTTTTTGTTTTTTCTTTTCCTTTCCTTCCTTTCCCTCCCCCCTTCCTAGTTCCCCTTCCCATTTGAGTATTTTCTTATTTCATGTCTATTTGACATTTTGGTCCTTACACTTTTGGTTTCTCACATGAGGGGAAAATGCAATATTCATACATGTCCAATTTGTTTCACTTAAGATGTGGTCTCCGGGCCATGGCGATGGCTCAGTAGAATAAGCATTTCCCTGGCAAGCGCAAGGGTCTGAGTTCAATCCCTAGTTCTGGAAAAAAAAAAAAAAAAGATACAGTCTCAAGGTGTATCCATTTACCTAGAAATGTCTCAGGCTTATTCTTCTTTATGGCAGAGTAGTACTCCATTGTTTGTTTGTTTGTTTTTAACCCGTATCTTTATCCTTTCATTAGTTGATAGACATTTGGACTGTTTCCAAGATTTAGCCATTGTAAACCGTACTGCTATAAACATGGGTGTGCATATATCTCTATGGTATGATGTTTTAATTCTTTTGGGAAGATATCAAGAAGGGACGCAGATGGGTCAAATGGAACTTCTAGTCCTAGTTTTTGAGGCATCTCCACACTGATGTCCACAGTGGTTGCACCTATTCGCTGCCATTATTAAGACTGCCCTGGTTTGTTTCAGAGAACTCCTGGAGATCTGCTCCTTTGAGCCCCAGCGAGTGGCTGTGTGCCCCAATAAGCAGCAGAGATCCAGGCTGCCTGGGGATGTAGATGTATGTGTAGGTGTCTGCACTCCTGCTTCAGCCCCTTTATTCCTGTGACCCTCCAGCCATGGCCCATATCTGTCCACCACCCTCTCCAAGGATCAAGGAACCTAGCTGTAGGAAATCTTGCCTTAGCTGGAGAAGAAGCAGGACTTGCTGCTGTGACAGGCCTCTCTGCCTCTTTCTTCTTTCCAGATGTTGTCCTGTGGGATCCCTGAGCTCTCGGATCTAGAAGACCTCAAGTATGTGTATGATGCCCTGAGGCCCCAGGACACAGAGGCCAATGCCACTACCTATTTCACTAGGTAACACCCGTGCTGAGCTGGGCATCCCCCACATAAGTCCCAGGCTTCGTGGCTGGCAGGAGCAGGCTAGAGAGCCAGAGCTGGACCTGTTGTCCCTGCTTTGCCTCTGACTTGGTGAAATCATTCTGCTTTCTTCAGCCTCAGCTTCCCACCTCTATCTTGGTGCTAATCTGAGCATACAGAGCTACTGTCCTATCTGTCTGTCTGTCTGTCTGTCTGTCTGTCTGTCTCTGTGTCTCTGTGTCTGTCTCTGTCTGTCTGTCTCTGTCTCTATCTCTCTGTCTTTGTCAGTCTATCCGTCTGTCCATCTCTGTCTCTGTCTCTGTCTCTGTCTCTGTCTCTTTCTCTGTCTCTGTCTGTCTGTCTGTCTGTCTGTCTGTCTGTCTCTCTCTCTCTCTCAATTTTTTGAGGCAGGGTGTCTGTACGGAGTCCAGGCTGGCCTGAAACAAACACTGATCATTTTGCCTCAACTTTTAAAAAAAATTTATTTGGTAGAGGGTCTCACTATTTAGCTCAGACTTATTAATGGTCCTCCTGTCTCAACCTCCCCAGCACTGGTATTACAGGCCTGAGCCACCATGCCCCATTTCCATGGCTGGCACAGCATGCCACGGATTCAGGAGCCAGCACGGCATGCGATACCAGGGAATGAACCCGGATCTGGGTCCTTGCGCTTGCCAGACAGGTGCTTAGACAACCTGCCTGACTTCTCATGAGCTAGGATTATAGACCTGCACCATTATGCCTGGCTCAAGGCTATTGTCATCTCTCTTATCTTATTGCCAAAGACTTTTTCCACAGGGAAGTGAATAATACAGATTTTGAAATCACCTTTAACTCTCTGGATGGCACCTTTCCTCTTTCAAGGGCACTCACCTTGAGCTGAAGTTTCAGAAGCCAGGAGTGGTGGAGCACACCTGTAGTCTCAGTACTCAGGAGGCCGAGCAAGGAGGAGCACTATGATTGTGAAGCCAGCCTGGGCTAAGGCCACCTTGAATTACATGTTGAGACCCTGTCTCTAAATAACTTAAATAAATCTATTAAATCTCTGGATTGGTCAGTGCTTAGGGAGATCCCATATACTGAACCTTTTTTAAAAAATTACATTTATTGGATATATATGTGTGTGTGTATATATATATTATATATATCTTCAATTCATCATAAGGAATTTGTACCTGTATATGATATATCTTCATTCCTTTTTTTTTCTGATTCCACACCCCTCAACCCCTCTTCTCCTCTTTATTTACAAAGCTTGGTTTTATATTATCTTTTCTCATCTTTTTCTTTCCCCTTCCTAGTTCCCCTTTCCTTAAAACAATTTCTTCCTATTTCACA